GTACTTATTGTATAGCGCCACTGTGCTCCCTCATACAGCTTCAAGCTAAAAATATTTCCTTTTACAGAAAGTATTTCCTTTACAGAAACTTTCGCCAACCCCTGAATTAGATCATTAAGAAGATACCTTCCAATGCTTCCTTTCAAGTGATTTTAGACTTCTTCAAAATTGATGACCATGGTAGTTTATACACTTAGCTGGGATCCCAAACAAACGGGGTTCCAATTCAAAAAGATTTGTCACTGGGTTGATGCCAAACCTACGACTTCTGTAACTTCAATGCCTTGTCATGTATTTGTCTCTTTCCCTTTGCCTCCAAAAAGTGACAGGATTCCTCATTATATATCACTAAGTAGGTCATCTAGTTAATTTATTAGCTAATTAGTATGTTGTTGTTGTTAAGTGTTGTCAAGTTGGTTCTGACTCACAGCGACTCTGTATAGGGTTTCCAAGGAGTGCCTGGTGAGTTTGAACCGTCGACCCTGAGGTTCAAACCGACCTTGTGGGCCAGTGCTTTATCCCACAGTGCCATACCAGGACTCCAGTTATTTAGTATAGTTAGTTAAATTATGAGTCTTATGATCAATTGCCTGCCTCTGTCTTACTGTGCTAATACAATCTGGTTTCTTAGAGATGGACTCTGGTCTCACACACAAAAATACAGAAATGTCTGTTAAAGCCATCCCTGTGGTATTTCTGTCAGAGTAGAACTAGAGAACTAAGAAAGAGTTTGGTACCGGAAGACAGGGAAGCTGTTCTACCAGAGATGTAAAATTTAGAAACCATTTTGGAACGGGGTAATAGGGAACGGATGAAAGAATTTTGAGATGCCTGATAGTAAAAACCTAACTTGCCTTGAAGAGACAGTTTGTTGGAAGTATTATGGGTGTCAAAGGAAATTCTGGGGAGGGTTCAGGAAGCAGTGAGGAGTGCTACCGAGAGGTCTCTGTCATCTTAAAGAATATGCATGGTGCCAGCAATAGAACATTGCTAGAAATTTGGACATTAAATGTACCTTACTAACAGCTTGGGTGTCATTCCGTATGATAAACACTGAGCTGTGAATTATAAGGTCGGTGGTTTGAGCCCACCAGCTGTTCTATGGGAGAAAGATGAGACTTTCTGCTCCCTAAAAAGATTCATAAGCCTCAGAACCCCCTATACAGGGTCACTGCGAGTCAGAATTGATTCGACGCCACTTAACCAACAGCTTAGAATCGGTCTGGCTTAGAATCACACCATGATACCCTAAAGCTATACTGCTTTCCAGCTGACCAGAGAGGGGCTTCTTCCCTCTGCCTACCATCCCCCCTACCCTCTGTCTCTTCCCCAGCCCCTGGGGCCCAGGTTAGCAGAAAACCACCCTCCGAGCCACCATGCAGCCCAGCATCATTGTGAAATCAGAACCAGATAAGGCAGGTGTGGGCAGGGCAGAGAGGGTACCATGGGGCTCAGTCACTGACTTGAGCTGTTTTTTTAATTTGTTTGTTAAGTGCCGCTGAGTCGGTTCTGACTCATAGCAACCCTGTATAAGTTTTCCGAGGAGCAGCTGATGGGTTTGGACTGCCGACCTTGCACTAATCTATCTCCTGTAAAGCCCAGCCCAGGTGGCTACCATTGTCCTTGGCTGTGGTAGCCTCAAGCAATATTGTAACCTCACAACTGCATCCCACACCTGCTCTTCACACCATGAGGGGGAGAAGGTGGGGATGGAACTTGTGGTGTCCTGGGGTAACAGCTGGAAACAGGACAGGGACACAAAGATAAGCCCTGAGCAGAGCTTCTGGACAAAGAAAGACTCATCATTCCCTCTCAAAGCCCAGAGGAAGCTCGGCCCTCAATTCTCTGAAAGGCTGAGCCCAGGGCATGTCCAGGGGCCTTTGACTCAAGGAAGAAGGGGGACCAAGGACAACAGGAAGTCTGATCCTGCCAGGAACAGCAGCGCTCCCTGGGGGCAAACTCAGGTCCAGAGGACCAGGGAAAGCAGGGGGCTCTGGAGCCAACTGGCCTCAGCTCTTATAAGACAGCAGTAGTCTCAGCTTCCCCAGCTCGGGGTGGGGATGACAATACCAGATCCCTAAAGGGCACTAGGTCAGAGACGTGCAGCCCCCACACAAAGACGAGGAGAAGCGTGTCTGGCTTTGGGTCCTCACATCCAAGCCCACCAAACACCAGGCTTCAAGGAACTGGAAAGATGAGGTGTTTCTACAGACGCAATCTCACGTCACACAATCACAGTGGACCAGAAAGAGCACCCCTTCCCTGGCCTTCTGCAGACCTTTGGGATTCAGAAGAAGTGGCCAGTAGAGGCTGGAGGCTGTGGGGACCGTGGGCCTGTAGACTGGGGAATAGAACAAGCATAAAGAACAGTCAGCCCCCTCTCCTTGTCCCACCCTGGCAGCCACCTCAATTTCTTGAACCACGTCCCCTTCTGTGACCACACTCCACCTCAGAATCTGGTCTCCAGGCCCCAAGAACTGGCACACCTTCGGTGACTGCATAAAGAATTCTGACCAGCACCTTCTAGACTTTCATATCCTAGACACCGGCAAGAAGAGAAGTGCCAGGCCTTCATGTCTCTACAAGGTCGCAGAGGACCTCACGACAGTTTGCTTAACGACTGAGGCTGGCTGGGTGGGCTGGAGAGCCCTTCACATCGTCAATTCTCAACTTCACTGATTCCACAAATACCTACTAAGTGTCCACAATATGCAGCAATGACCACAATGGACAAGGACCCCTGCCTCCTGCGCTGACATTTTAGTGTTGTTGTTGTTAAGTGCCATCAAGTCAGTTTCGACTCAGAGAGACCCAGTACAGGTTTTCCTAGGAGTGGCTGGTAAATTTGAACCACCGACCTTGTGGTTCAAACTGACCTTGTAGTCCTGTGCTTATCCTACAGTCCCACACCAGGACTCTGACCTTTTTGTAAGGTAAGGCAAACAAAATCAGAACAGTATAAAGTCATATAGGGCAGTCAGGGAAGGCCATGGTGGTCAGGTGATAGGTAAGCCGAGAGCCGACAGGAGGGAGGGAGGAAGCAGCAAGGATAAGTGAGGGATCCCAGTCCACTGAGGACACGTGCAAAGGCAGAAGTATCCCTACAGCAGAGGGGATGAGACAGAGCAGAGCAGAGTGGGGTCAGTGAGGAACCGGCAGTCATACCACACTGGGCCCGGTGACACGGGAGGGCACAGAAACTGTTCTAACATCCTTGTAGGTAGGAGATGCTCTCCAATGCAGAGGTTGCAACTGTCTCAGCCCAATAGGCCCAATAAGCAGGGAGCCCTGGTGGTTCAACAAGTAAGCACTGAATGAAAAGTTGGTGGTCCAAACCCATTCAGCCATTCCTTGGGAGAAAGATCTGATGTTGTTAAGTGCTGTTGAGTCGGTTCTGACCCATAGTGACCCTAAACAGGGTTTCTGAGGCTATAAATCTTTACGGGAGCAGAAAGTCTCATCTTTCTCCCACAGAGCAGCTGGTAGTTTCGAACTGCTGACCTTGCGGTTCACAGCCTGATTTGTAACCACTATTCTACCAGAGTTCCTACTCCCGTAGAGATGACAAAAACCCAATCTCATTGTTGCTGAAGTTGATTCCAACTCAGAGCAACCCAACGGGACCAAGTAGAACTGGAAACCGAGTAGATTTCCCAGGCTATTCATCTTTATGGGACCAGACAATCACATCTTTCTCCTGTGGAGAAGCTGGTGGGTTTGAACCACTGACTGTTGGGCTAACAGTGGAGTACTTCATTCCTGAGCTACCAGGGCTCCTTCCATTAAGACTACAGCCTAGGAACTCTAAGGGGCAGTTGTACATTGTCACATGGGTTTGTTATGAGTTGGGATTGACTTCATGGCACTCTAAGAAACCATTAAGTAACCCGCAGAAGATTGGGCGGGTCTGAGAAGGCCCATATAAAGAACACTGGTTGCTGCCTTTTCTTACTGCAAAAGGAAGACCAGTTGCCCTGAGCATTTCAGCGCTCTCAGGAGAGGTTACTGGTACCTCCCACGTCACCAGCCAGCCCACTGTCAGCCAGGTCTCTGCTATACACATGGTGATGTTTGTATATACTGCTGTGGATTAATGCACCAGACTGTGCCTTTTGAACTGCAAGGTCGGCTGTTCAAGTTCACCAGCTGCTCCTTGGAAACCCTAGACAGGGTCACTATGGGTTGGAATCGACTCAACGGCACTTAACAACAACGACAACATAGCTTTCACCTCTGGTAGCATAGTAGTTATGAATCAGGCCGCTAATCTCATGGTCAGCAGTTTGAAATTACCAGCTGTTCCATGGGAGAAAGATGAGGCTTTCTGCTCCTGTAAAGATTTACAGCCTTGGAAACCCTGTAGAGGGTCGCTATTGAGTCGGAACCGACTCCATTGCACATAACAACAACAACAACAACAACAAATTCAGTACCTGGCCACTGATTTAGCGACTATTTCTGGCGCCTTCAGGTGAATTCATATCAGCCCTTCCCACCATGCCTACACTCCAAGGGAGCCAGTTCCAGCCCCCATCCTAAGGCCTGGGCTTGGCCCCTGTTATGGATCCAACAGTGTTCCCCCAAAGAAATACACTGGTGTCCAGTCCCTATACCTATGAACAGGGCTCCATTTGGATTGACGGTCTCTGGAGACAGAACCTGTTCACATGAGAGTATAAGGGAGTTGTGTCCTTAGGAGAAAGAGACATAGTGACAGTCAGAGTGAAGACAGCTGTGTGAAACCACAGTGATGGGGCTCCCAACAGCTGGAAGAGACAAGGAAGGGCCTTCCTCTAGCGACTTAGGCGGGGATGTAGCATGTCTGACATGGTTCGGATTTGTGGACTCCAGTCACGTGAGACAACAACCTTCTGTTCTCACAAGTCACCCAGTGGTGTCCTTTCTGGATTATGAAGACAGTCCTGATGGACCCCTTGGTTGCTTGGCCCAACCCTGGTGCTTTCGTTTGCTCCTTGGAACCCAGTGTCCCCAGTACTCACTGGGCATGGAGAAAGGAGACAGGAAGGTAGTCTCGACCGGCTCCAGCTCTGGGGGTGGTGGCTGTGGGGGCGGCTGCTGCTCCTGGTTCTGCTGAGGGTCTTCGGGGTTTTCCATGGGAACGTTCCCATTCTCTATGTTCTCATGCCTCCCGTTTTGGAGCGGCTTGCTGTTCACGCTGTTTGCTGAGTTGATCAGTCTCTGTCGCTGTGAGGGCAGGAGATCAGATGGACACTGAGAGGTGGGATGGCGCCCCTTACACACACACAATCTCAAAGAATCACACACCCTTAAAGGCTTCTACGGCATCATCCCTGGAGATGAGTTTGCCTGAAACTCGCTTCAAGGCTCCCGGAATGCACAAAAACGTGCCTACTTCCAGCAGGCTTTGGGGACAGGTCAGAAGCTTGGCCTCCACATCTAGGGTCAACTCAACATGCCATCGTATGCTTGGTCTCCAGGCATCTGGGTGATAGTGGACATTCAGAGTTCTCACTGTGAACATTCATCAGCTACTGAAAAGTCCCCACGTGGTTTTTTATTTTGCCTAATTTTGTAGACATTCCATACAAACAGTACAAAATAAAGGTACCCTTCTACTGGACAAATATTGTCTGATCCTACTTACAGGAAATAGTTAGAATAAGTAAGTATATAGAAACCAAAGCTCACTAGTGGGTAACAGGGGTGGAAAGGGGGGATCAGTGTTTAGGGACACTGGGCTTTGTAGAAACAGGAAGGGTCATGGCCGATAAACGTGGTGATTGTCCCTGCATTGTGAAGAGTGTAGAAATGGGAAATGATTTGTTAAAACAGGCATACCACCCAGAGAGGGAGAGGGGCTGTGTGCTGACAACCGGGGAGCAGGCTTACAGGGTGTACCCTTTGGTTGGTTGATGATGCATGGAGGGGATTGTAACCATGGCAACGAAACGATATACAACGATAGCATGAATGTAAAACTAATGTTCTCCCATGTAAACTATCACATAATTCACAATAAAACATTAAAACACACACATACACAAAACAGGCACACCACCCTTTATTGCACTTCACGGCGATTACATTTTTAACAAATGGAAGGTCTGTGGCGACCCTGCGTCGAGCAAGTCTCTTGGCGCTGTTTTTCCAGCAGCGTGTGCTTTCTTCTTCCTGTCACCATGTGACACGCTGGTAATTCTCACTACAGTTCAAACTTTCATCATGCTCTGACACAATGTAATAGACTACAGTAGAGTGCCAACATGGTTCATGTGTACTGAGAATCCAAACACATCGTGTTAATTGCTTTATGGCGATAATCCCTTTATTTTGTGCTCTGTAACCAAACCCGAAATATCTCCAAGGTGTGTCAGTATTAACACAAGTTTTTAAAAGTACCCTTATATTAAGTGTTCAGCTCAATGATGTTTTGTGGTTTTTTTTTGTTTTTTTTTTTTATGTTTTATTGTGAATTATATGATAGTTTACATGGGAGAACATTTCATTGCCATGGTTACAATCCCCTCCATGCACCATCAACCAACCAAAGGGTATACCCTGCAAGTCTGCCTCCCACACTCCCCGCCTCCTTCCCCAGTCTTCAGCACACAGTCGCTCTCCCTCTCTAGATCTAAAGTCCCCAGCTGCTCCATCGCTCCACGTCTGCCTCCATCTCAGGCATCGCTGCTTCTCTGGGTAGGGTCCCGCTCTCTGCTCTTCTCTCTTGATGGTCCTAGGGACCTCCGCTTCTAGACTGGAAAGTTAATCACTCTCTTCCTTGCTATAAAACATCTACTTTTACATTTCCAACCCTCACAATCAGTCCTGATAACAATTATTCACTATTGTATCACAAGAGACCCATCTGCATTTCATTTCATCAGCTCCACCTAGGCAGATTCAGCTCAATGATGTTTTAATGCACACTGTAGAACATTCCCAGACCCTCAGAAGATCTCCAAAGGTCCTTTCCGACTCTATTCATATCAGTTCCAGCGGTAATCACTTTTCTGACTTTGACCTGAGTTTGTTTTCCCTGTTCTTAACATCATAGAAATGGGTTAAAACAGTGCGTATTATTTTATGCCTGGCTTCCTTCACTTAACCAAATTTCTGGAAGATTCACCCCTGTTGTGGCCGGCACTGATAGTTTGTTCACACTGTTCATGGTTGGGTGCTAGCCTTTGGGTAGGATCAACACGGTTTCCTTTACCAAAGGAGGAGCATTTAAGGAACCCTGATGGCATAGTGGGTAACACATTGGGTTGCTAATTGCGAGGTCAGGAGTTCAAGTCCACTAGACATTCCACAGGAGAAAGAGGAAGCTTTCTGCTCCCATAAAGATTTACAGCTTCAGAAACCCTATCCAGGATCGCTATGAGTCCAAATCGACTTGACAGAACACAGTTAGCCAGTCAAGTAGGAACACTGAGGTTGTTACCACTTCGGGGTTATGATGACTAGAACTTTCACGGACACTCATGTACATGTCTCTTTCTCTGGGGTGTGGGCCTGAGTGAAACTGCTGGGTCACCAGGTAGGCGCATGTCCAACCACTTTCTATTTGTATCAGCAGCATTTTTCAGTTCGCTTGCCATCCTTATCAACGTTAGTATTCTCAGTCCTTTCAGTGTTAGCCATTCTGGTGGGTGTATACCATGGTATCTAATTGTGGGTTTAGGAGGCCTGGTGGCCACAGTGGGTTACGTGTTGGACTTTTAGCCACAAGATCATCAGTTCAAAGATTAGTGTGTCTGCTCCCATAAACCACGACTCACCTGCCAGTTTGTCATACTGTGGTGGCTTACGTGTCACTGTGAGAATGGAAGTTACGCCACCGGTATTTTAAATACCAGCAGGGTGACCCATGGTGGACAGTTTTCAGCAGAGCTTTTCCAGAGTCAGTCAGACTAAGAAAAAGGAGAGACAGACTACTTCTAATATGTGGTCACTGAAAGCCTGGATAGCAGTGGAACAATGTCAAATAGCACCAGAACACCGAATACTGAAAACATAATGAAGAGTGCAAGAATAATGTCAGATAAAAAGCTGGAAGATGAACCCCTCAGGTTGGAAGGCACTCAAAATGCAACTGGGAAAGAGCTGGCTCTTCAAAGTACAGTTGACTATGATGACGGGAATGGAGTAAAGCCCTCAGGACCTTCATTTGATGATGAGGCACGACTCAAA